ATCTTTTCAAGCAAGTGACACTGAAATTTAATCTCTTCAGCCTTCATGCTGCTCTTGTGAAGGTTTGGAAGTTTCATTACTTTATATATTCTAAAAACGTTTATTACTTCATAAAGTAACTGACCATCTTTGAACCTTCTTCATCTTTTATGCTAAAATTATATAACACAACTTACTAAATTATGCAGAAGCCTTGGGCCAAAAAAGTCTTGGCATTTCATTTAAATATTGGTTACAAAAATGTCTTTAAAACCTGGTGCATCTTTGATAATGTTCAACACACATAGGCATCTGATATAGCTAGAAAAGAGCAACAACATATGACTAAGAAGAGTATTTATTCAAATTTTGATTGACCGAATAACAATTAGAAATGTTTTATTGTGTAATTAGTCTAAAAAAAAGAAAGTGGTGCAATATTTATTTATATAATATTTAATACAATATAGTCATTGAAATTGAAGCAACCTGTATTTTCAAAATCCAAGGATCACACTCTCCAGCGTGTTAGTGTCAGAGGGATATATTTTTTTAATTTCACTTTTTAGAAAATACAGGCTCCTGTAGCTGAACCAATCATTTTGAAATTATTAAAGTTGAACTTTGAATAAAGAATACATCTATATCTGACATAATTTCAAAATCAAAACGATAAAATTTGTCTCACACTCTAAATTAAAACCACAGACTATATACTATGTCAAAGAAGTGAACAATTTCAGATAGAATAAGCCTATTTTTAATCTTGAGATCATGAGTACAAGGAGGCCCTATGGGGCTTTATCAATCACCTATTATGTAATGCTGTTGGCTATCACGTCTCGCATGTGTGACTTTCAAATTTGGTCAAGAACACACTTGATAGTAAACAAGCAAATGTAACAGGCATATTTGTTAAAAGATTTTAACTTATTTTGTTCATATGACCTTACAGGCCTAGGCCTTAATAAAACGAATCCCTTTCAAGTTTTTTCACACAATTTCCTCTGAAGAGGCTGTTTCAATGTTTTAAAATGTTTGAACCTCGTGAGTGATAGCCTTGGAAAAAAAGGTAAAGGCCATTCATTTGATCAAACCTAATATCCTTTCATCTAAATATGCTACTGGGTAAATACATGTTTCATGATCCTTGGTCTCTTGGTTAATACAGAAAATTGTTTTAGATAAAACCGACCCTATTATCCCATAAGCTCTTAGGCATTTCATACGTCAGTACATGTATCATGATCCTTGGTCTCTTGGTTAATACAGAAAATTGTTTTAGATAAAACCGACCCTACTATCCCATAAGCTCTTAGGCATTCCATATGTCAGTACAGTGTAGCAGGAATACAGAGTCAATGGTTTCCTTTCCTTCATTACTACATTGATCCAAACCATTATTTTGTTCTTGATTTTTTTTCATATTCTGTGTAAAATAAACTTATCTATATGTTGATCTTTACCCGACTTGAAATAAATTGAGTATTTCATTAAAAAAATCTTATTTAGATTCACAACATACACAAGTACACAGTTATAAACCAGTTACACTGATCAGGCCAAACAGATGAACAAACATAAGGCTTGTATGAGGAAGGAAATTTGACTGGGGCCAACCAGCCTAACAGAAATGAGGCTTGTTTAAGAATCATTAGACTGGGGTCAACCAGCCTAACAGAAATGAGGCTTGTTTAAGGAAGGAAATTTGACTGGGGCCAACAAGCCTAACAGAAATGAGGCTTGTTTGAGGAAGGAAATTTGACTGGGGCCAACAAGCCTAACAGAAATGAGGCTTGTTTAAGAATCATTAGACTGGGGTCAACCAGCCTAACAGAAATGAGGCTTGTTTGAGTAGGAAACAATATGCAAACTGTTATGAATTTGATGTTCCTAGCACATCTAGCTTTTACAAGGGAGATAATAAAATTTGTGCAACCACTAGCTCTGACATATTACATTATAAAGAAATTAACACAAACATTAAATAATGTTACTGGAATAAGCACTTAAAATCACAAGATGTATGAAATAAATAACATGAATTAAATCATATATCAATTTTTCAATTTGCCCTAAATAAAACATGTTTTTGGTTTGGTGGGATTCCGATGATAATGATGCTAGATAATATATTCTGCCAGTAGAGACAGGTAGTTTTATGTGAAAGGAAAATACTTAACAAAATAATAGAACTGCACCAGACAAAATGAGCACAAAACACTTGAAGAAACCGATGGCAAAATTAAAAATTAAAATTGTCAATAATAATATGTACACAGAAAACAATACGCATGTACATTATATACGAACGATATATATCAGGTATAAATATACACAACAACTTATTATCAACAACAAAAGACATCAAAAGGAAACATAAATAATTAAATAGCAAATACTGGTACCTCTGAAGCTTTAGATATCAAATAGCTGGAGGGCTTCGAGCTTCAGTGATTTATTTCTTATGAAGAACTATTATTTTATTCAGGAAATTTTGCAGTCACATTAAAAAGACGCGTAAGCAGCAAACAAAAGCACAAAATAAAGAAAGTCACTAAAGGCTTAACAAAATTACAATAGCATTTTGTATACCTGGAAATCTTTGCTCAGTCAAATTTGAAAAAAAAAAATCACCGGTAAAATCCAAATTTGTGCAGTATTGATTTCATCCTTCTTTTAAAAATGTCTTCACCTCTTGTGTTGTGTATAAGTGTTTGCTTTCATGATAAATTTGATGTAATTATAGAATTCAAAAACAGGCAAATGTTAAACTGTGACAAAATCTTCCAGGTATACAGTGACTGAATCAATTATTGCTACTAAATACCAATTATTGTTAAATTCAAGACTGTGTTTTTGCTTGACATGAAAATGACGGAACCAGCTGGAAGAAGTGCTGTTTTACTAAATTGCCATGCTCAAAATACATTTCTCCTCAGCCTGTTTTTTATTATATAAACAGATGGGCAAATGATTTCTCAACTCCTGAAGAAAAAGTCATTGCATGATGTCTCAATGCCTTTCATCATGGAAGGCAGTAATATTACGTAGGACTAAAGAAGATGATTACAAATATTTTGCATGAAAGACATTTAAGTATAAGAGGAGATAACTCCAATTTTTTGCCATTTCATTTTTGTAGCATTTTTTATAGCATGCATTGATAACTAAATAAGAAGCATGATTTGTGACAGACGTTAGTTCCATTGTACTATGGAATCATTGTATATCTTTGCAATACAAAATAGTCATACCCTATTCAGAAAATTGAGGACGTATTCAATTGACCATTTACAGTTGTATTTCATAAAAATTAATTGGGAAAAACATGACTGATTCTTTGCTGTACAAAATATCTAAATGTAGTTATAAGACAAAACATAATGGTAAATAAATCAACAGATGATCTGACCATCTTTGTACATTATAAGTTTAATTGGAACATTACTGTTTAACACGAAATGTCAGTGGGTATTTATCCTTCGTGGTTTGAAACCATTTAGATCGTTTCGTGGTACAAACTTTCGTGGATATCCTTTATTAACAAACAGTAGATGAATCATCCAAATTCGTTTGTATTTATTTTTTCATTCAATAGCACAACCACGAAAACCCCAAATGTTTATACACAACGAACGTTTCATGTTATACAGTACATAATTTTGGGGGAGCTTAAAATCTCTATATTGTCAATAGATTAATACATATCACAACATTCAAGAAATCCAAAGTATGTGCAACTACCTTTTGATAATACCATATTTTATTTTTCTATTTAATTACCTGTTATTATAAAGATTTGTGACTGAGGAAAATTACTAGGACTTTAAATAAATATATCTTAATTGGAAAATTAACAATTAGGCATTATCATTCTTATACATAATTTTAAACAATCATTAACTCAGGCCATACAACACCCTTCCATATATCAACACATTACGATTGTATCTTTTTCAGCGTTACACTAAAACAATATCACAAACAATACACAAGAAAAGGAAATTGAACTTTACATAAAAGTTCTATTTTGTAAAAGTATTTGTGTTGTTAGTGTATGATTTGAAGAAACACACAATGTAGAATATTTATGTCATGGTTATAATCAAAAAGGACAGAAAAATCATTACTCTTGAACAATATGAAATCAGTGCTAAGGATAATTTCAGGAAAGGCGAATAAATCCTGTAAAATTATATGAAAAAATGAAAGGATATGCTGAGAACTAAATACATATGTAATTGATACTTGCATTTGCATTTTGAATATTGGAACTGATTCTTGTGCAAATTTATGTGGAAACTCACTCTGTGGAGTGGAAACTTAATCTAAGAAGGGCAATAACTCCCATAAAAATAATAAAAGACTGTCAAAGCCACCTAACACTGGCTATTTTATACATGATTCCTTTGTCTATTAATCAATCACACCACTTCAAGTAGATCCCCAAATGAACCTCAAGACAAGTCAAAATATTCAATTAAGTTATACCCTAATAAACCCAAATGTAAAATAGCTTACTCCAAAAACTTTTAACCTGTGCCATGCATGGGGGCCGCAGTGGCTGAGTGCTTACGGCGTCTGCCTATCTTCTATCTGTAGCCTTCCACCACTGGGTCGGCGGTTTAAGGCCTAAATGGAGCAGGCACCAGGAACTGTTTTCATAGAATGTAGAACACAAACAAACCAAACCTATACCGTGATAATGTGGTACACATAATACACACATCATCATCATCATCATCGTCATCATCATAATCGTCACCATCATCGTCGTCGTCATCGTCATCGTCATCATCATCATCATCATCATCATCATCATCATCATCATCATCATCATCATCTTCTTCTTCTTCCTGGACACAAATTAACTCTGTGTGGAGTGTGATATTCCAGCGACAGTGAAGAAAGAACTTCTTATTGTCCAGGAACAAATGGAGATGGGTAGAATACCAGCTATTAGTCTCGGAAATACTGATGTAGGTTTTGAGAAATGGATGACAGCGACAAAGCCATTCATTTTTCATTTTTTTTTTTTTATAAAATAGTGAAAATCATGCAGATATAATGCAGATATACTTGCAAATACCTGTCAAATGTCCCAATTTTGTCAGAACTGTCACACATTTACCCTCTAATAAAGTGTCCTTGTGGGATGTTCATTTTTACACCCTGCATGGGACCTTGCTATTTTGATTTTTTTTCCCATTTAATTGTCTAATTTTCCAATTTAATTGTTTTAGTTTTCTAACCTTTTAGCAAATTAATGTGAAAATATTATATAATCAATTTACCTCTGGAAATACATCAAGTTTATGAAGTAATTTTGTCGAGATCAGTGATATACAAGTATTGACCTCTTTGTACCGGACACTTCACCAATGGAAGTGTTTGGCAAGAGGTTGGCATGGAATATTGCATTTGAGCCTTCTTTATCTACTGTGAATTAATGTGTGACATGCAGAAGATCTTACTTCTCCTTACAACCCGACATGATGCAAAAACAAAAAGTATCCTGTGGTGTAGACCATAAACATGGGGGCACTGTCACTCCAGTCACCACTCAAATGGTTGTCCCAATATCCAGCCCGTGTTTAAGGGATCAGACTGGCCTTGTGCTATGCATATTGACCCATTCATCTAGCCATCTCACAATTCAGCATTATTTGCCGAGGCTAAAGGTGGATGGGTTACTGACAATCCACTGTATATGGATTATACATTTATAACAACCTTTCAGACTTCATAGCTTAAAACAGTCTACAATCAAACAAAAAAATCTACTCATGAAATACCATTTGTTCACAACAATAATACTGTTAAATGAATACAAGTGTTTCAAAGGATTTAAAATACCCTATGTATCTACTATCACATAAAAAGTGCACCAACAACACTGAATGTTCTGAACACGTCTGACACTTCATCAAATTCTGGACAAATGTCTATAATTCAACAACTTTGCATTGGTTTTTGATATGACTAATAAAAATTTTGTTTCAAATCTGAGGGGTGCTCTCCCTGTCCCTATTTGGTCAGTCAGACTCTTCTTCCTTCTCCAACAGTACAGAGTCTTCCCCTAGCATGCCACACAGCTCCTGCAGTCGGTGCTGCATTTTTGGCAATCCTGCAAGTTGGGTCTCTAGACGCTGTTTCTCCTCGTTAAGAGTCAGGCGGGTATTGGAGTCAAGTTCTTCCATTCTCCATCCTCCCTCCCCATCAAACTGCAGGAGGTGGGTGTGGAATTTCCTATTTGAAGATAATGCATAGCATTGATGAACTATATTTGTTAACATGGCAATATGAAAACTTTGTTCTGAAGGCAAGCATTTAAATTTTCATCGCAGAAGATCATTAGACAGTTTCATTAGGTAAACCTTAAGATTTGATATAAATGAACTTCTCATTTTAAAACCGATAAACACTCATTTGTGGTGGCAGTGGTGATGGTGGGGTAGGTGTGGTGTTAAATATATCACAACTACCATTATAATGTGGATTTTTTACCCACATACAATATCCGTCAGGAGTTGCATCTTAGTATCAGTACAGATAGTCTTATCAGTTACACACTAGTTACAAATTCTATTTCTGTTCTGGATCTGCGATATAAACATGAACTAAGGCTCACCAGAGTGACGGCCTGTGTGTGATTGTCATCAGGGAGATACCAGAATCCTTCACGGTCTGGTAGATCTTGCTCTCCACATCAATAGACACAGCACTGGTACATTCATCCAGGAGTGCAAAATGAGGTCTGCAAAACAATCAAGGAACGAAATTTCAATGGTACAGTAAAACATGCCAACTGATACCAGTGAAGTTCTCAACAATGTAGAGGGAGTAATAGATGGTCGCAGTACAGGTCAAGCCTGCTAATTGCAGGTCGTTTCAATATGTCAACTTTTCAAGCCTTTACAATCAGCAGTATGGCATTTAATACATTAAAATTTGCCTTTAAATATCAATATTTCTTTCGCGAGGAGTTGTATAATATTTAAAGATATAAAAAAGGTGATTCTTAAAACATTTTCAATGCATGGATAAGTAATGCAAATGCAGGAGATCCAAAATAATAGAATCTGTGCAGGTCATGAAGATTACTAGCAAGTATTCATGTGTCATTATGGCAAGGTTTTGTTTCATGAATATCAAACATTCAGGTCCCCTGTGGTTTGATATATAAAAAAAAAAACTGTAATATATACATTTGTATATATAAAATAATTTCATTCTACATTGGAAATTAATGTAATGATATTTCATCATTGCAAAACTTTTGATCTTTTCACAGGAGAGAAATTAATTCCAATTAACAGTGAAGAGATGGGTAAAATGCCCTACCCTCCTCATTGTGAATAGGGTCCACAACACCTTACCCAAAAGGCAGACACAAACCTGATGGCCTGTATATCTATCAATTCTTACTTGTGGTAGAAGATCCTAGCCATTCCCATTCTCTGTTTCTCTCCACCAGACAACACATCTTTCCAATCCCCGTGAGCATCCCATCCTACAAATATCAATATCAATAAATCAAAGTCTAAAATTAAAACTAATCCGCTGACCCTGCCAAGAGATATATATTATTAATAAAACTTAATATGACCGTCGCGCTGGAAAGGCGGCTAGGAAATGACCCACGAACACGATACGCTTACACGTATCGCACGTGCTACATACAGAGTCAATCCGATTGGCTTAGCACACTCAGCAATATCCGTATCGAACCGATAAGACAAATAATTCCCGCTATTCTCCGAACCGCGGGAATATATTATTATTTCAGTATACTAGCTACATTCTTCCATCCCAAGAGGAACTGGCATACACAATTTTGTAATTGTAGGTAACAAGAATTCCCTTCCATCCAAAGCAACTAGACAGTGAACATGATCATAAATCTACAGGGTCACATGCCAGGATATTTTACCATCCAAAAGAAGTACTCACAAAATCTGGCAGATGACGAATTATGTGAGATTGGAACCCACACAACGTTGGAATCAGCAAACAATTGGCAGCCATAACTACATATACATACGAGACGTGTAATGTGGGTTTTAGTGTGCGATACTCTGCCAACCAACAACCTACTCGCATACCAAGTTTGGCACTTTTAGGTGACAACCGAGGATATAAGATATGTCTTGTACAGAGGCACAATAAACAAAGGGAAATTACTCTGTATGTATTGGGCACAACCGTCCCAGGAGGTTGAATTGTCACTTTTTTACAATTGTAGGCGATAGAATACATGCTTTTCACCAAATTCAGTTGTAATCCACACACCTTCAGGAAGATTGTGGTCAATTTACATTCACTGATTGTAGACAAATGATAGATCATTGTTAGCTTGCACGATAGATCATTGTTAGCTTGCACGATAGATCATTGTTAGCTTGCACGAAAGATCATTGTTAGCTTGCACGATAGATAATTGTTAGCTTGCACGATAGATCATTGTTAGTTTGCACGATAGATCATTGTTAGTTTGCACGATAGATCATTGCTAGCTTGCACACTTTAGCTAAAGGAGGAACATGTTCTAACTGGGAGTGAGGTGGAAGTTCATACTCCACATGAATACCCCATACTCTCAATTTTTATTAGGTTGATGTGTAACCTTTTATTTTTCCCTCTCAAACATTAATCTTTCGCACCAATGTGCACGAGTATGCTACTAGTACTAGACATACTACCAACCTCCTTCTCTGTCGACTATCGGTCTTAGATTGACAATATCTAGGACTTTCTCCAGGTCTGAATCGGTATAACCTTTGGTTACCATTTCCTCCAGAGTGTCAGGATAGATCACCTGGTCACGGAAGGTTCCTAGAGACATGTAGGGCCTGCAACATGTCAGAGAGGAAAATGTTACGTACATAGTACACGAGACATTCTTAAGTCAGATGCAGAAAACTAGAAAAATATCTAATCAAAGGGAGATAACTGTGAATAAAATCCATTAACCAATACCTGCAGTTTTATATATATACAATTTTATTGAAATAAGAAATCACCTTGTAAAATTAAAACTCCAACTTACGAGTACTGGTAACATGTATAACCTATCACATGACACTATATTTCAATTTTCTAATTATAAAAGCTACCAGCTATGCTTCTGCTACTTAAATATTAAGTACAGGTATGGCACTGTCCATCAAGTTAAGGATAATGTTCATAGAAAGCATATAAATATAACTGTTACCTTTGAGGAATGTAAAACATTGTGCTGGGTGGGGGTTTGAGGAGTTTCCCACCATATGCTGGCCACAATCCACTGAGTATACGGAACAGAGATGACTTGCCACACCCATTTGGTCCAGTGATCAACAAATGCGTTCCTTTCTCAATCTGAAACAATCAATATATTAAGTGTGTTACATGTAACATCCTATTTGAATTAACTTGGAAATACTCTCCTAATCAAACATTAAGTGATACATTTGTGCATGTACTGGGTGAAATGAAATGGATTCCCTCCATTAAATGCTTCAGGATATCAACTTGTTACAATTTTACTACAGAAACCTTAGGTTTTATGAGAAAATGAACTAGATCTTTTCTATTTCCTCACCAATTAGTGTATAAATAAAAAAAACTTTTGTTAAGATATTCAATGTAAATTGATCAATCATAGATCACTATGGACCATGACAATATTAACAAGACAAAATTCATTGCGTTATCAACATGATCATAATCTAAAGTCAGATACAATTCTGATTGTTAGGCAGTGGTATAGTCTGTGTGTAAATAGCAAGCAGGCTAAACCAGTCTACTGTAAAATGTTTTACTTCATTTATTTATTTTAGTTCAACAGACCCTAAAGGTCCAATACAACTTCTTTTCTGATGACTCCAAATAACCTTTCAGCTTCGGTAATGAAACCTATTTTCAATAGTAGCCCCCCACTACTACTTCAGTAAATGTCAAGAGACAAACTTTAAGAGAATCCAGCACCAATTACCATGTAAGATAGAGAAATTAAAACCTATTGGTTGAGATTTCTTCATACAGTGGTGTAGTGATTATTTTCTCTACATATTACTAAATACCTTTTCCAACAAGACATTGGTCTATTTAAAGGTAACTTTTTTTTTATCTCAGCATGTGCTGTCACAACAGCTGAAGTACCAGTAAGATAATGACAGGATCATCGCTCAGTACAAACAGATGATGTTGAATGCAAGGCCATAATATGAGGTTGAGGTTAGCTACAATGATACCTTTAAGGTGTACACAATATACCTGGTGAAGACTAGGGCCATACCTTCAGGTTGAGGTTAGCTACAATGACATCCCCATTTGGTGTAATGATTGGCAAGTTCTGAATGTCTATTGTTGATTCTGTATCCACAACTTCACCTGCAATGAATGTAAATATCATTAGAAATGTTTTTTTTACTGTTACCATAGCCTTATGTTATAACTTATCTCAATTGAAATTCTCCATTAAGGGTCATCCTACTAATCATAAAGAGAAAGTTGAATCTAGATTATTCCAAGGTTTATACTCATATATTTCTGTGGCAAATCCTCTTGTTCATACATGTTAAATTACAATACATACATATAAGTGGGCTAGGGGCAAATCTTGCATAGTCCTTGCTACATGTTTTTAGCAGATCTGCTTATTCAAGAAACACAGTAATTTTAAACCAATAATGATTTTGCACACGGGAATAATTTATTTTCCCCCCAAATTAATACAAAATGTAAATTGCCGTCTTGTCAGATATTTTGATAAATGCAGATGTTGAAGAAGCACATTCTCTATATATAGTACTATTTAAAACTCTACAAACACAATTTGTATACATGCATACTTAAATGGCGTGAATAATCTGCATGCCACAAGTTGAACATCTTTTTATGGATATGTATTGCAAGAAGACGATTATGAATAAATCACACACACAAGAAGCATGCTATAATATCAGTTGTGACAAGCTCTCCTGTATAATATTTTTGCACATACATATTACTAACACAACAATTGATCAATTGATTGATTTATATGAACCAAACATTATTTTGTTTATCTTCGACAATGGCAATACCTGTTAGTTTTTTCGATAATTTTCACAGAAAAATAAACTTTACAAGCAATCCAAAATACATTTGTTATATGATTATCAAATTCATCATTTTATTCGTCATGCATATAAAATATCACCAAGGTGCTTTAATAAATCATTTTTTTGCCACAGCTACTGCAACAGGCTTAAATTAAAGAGTAAGATTACAAAGCAGCTGAGCAAGGTTATTTGAAAATGTCATGCTTGTTAAGTTGTTAGTAACTTCAGCCAATCACGCAAACTGCTACACTGAAATCATCTTCGCCACTAGTAATGTCACACAATCAGCCAATCACACAAACTGCTACACTGAAATCATCCTCGCTACTAATTATGTCACTCAATCAGCCAATCACACAAACTGCTACGCTGAAATCATCTTCGCTACTAGAAATGTCACACAATAAGCCAATCACACAAACTGCTATACTAAAATCATCTTCGCTACTAAGCTACTAATAATGTCATACATCAGCCAATCACACAAACTGCTACACCGAAATCATCTTCGCTACTAATAATGTCATACATCAGTCAATCACACAAACTGCTACACTGAAATCATCCTCGCTACTAATTATGTCACTCAATCAGCCAATCACACAAACTGCTACGCTGAAATCATCTTCGCTACTAGAAATGTCACACAATCTAGTAACTTCAGCCAATCACGCAAACTGCTACACTGAAATCATCTTCGCTACTAGTAATTTCACACAATCAGCCAATCACACAAACTGCTATACTAAAATCATCTTCGCTACTAAGCTACTAATAATGTCATACATCAGCCAATCACACAAACTGCTACACCGAAATCATCTTCGCTACTAATAATGTCATACATCAGTCAATCACACAAACTGCTACACTGAAATCATCCTTGCTATTAGTAATGTCACACAATCAGCCAATCACACAAACTACTACACTGAAATCATCCTCGCTACTAGTAATGTTACACAATCAGCCAATCACACAAACTGCTACATTGAAATCATCTTCGCTACTAATAATGTCATACATCAGACAATCACACAAACTGCTACACTGAAATCATCCTTGCTATTAGTAATGTCACACAATCAGCCAATCACACAAACTGCTACCCTGAAATCATCTTCGCTACTAGAAATGTCACACAATCTAGTAACTTCAGCCAATCACGCAAACTGCTACACTGAAATCATCTTCGCCACTAGTAATGTCACACAATCACCCAATCACACAAACTGCTACACTGAAATCATATTCGCTACTAATAATGTCATACATCAGCCAATCACACAAACTGCTACACCGAAATCATCTTCGCTACTAATAATGTCATACATCAGTCAATCACACAAACTGCTACACTGAAATCATCCTCGCTACTAATTATGTCACTCAATCAGCCAATCACACAAACTGCTACGCTGAAATCATCTTCGCTACTAGAAATGTCACACAATCTAGTAACTTCAGCCAATCACGCAAACTGCTACACTGAAATCATCTTCGCTACTAATAATGTCATACAATCAGCCAATCATACAAACTGCTACACTGAAATCATCTTTGCTACTAGTAATGTCACTAAATCAGCCAATAACACAAACTGCTACACTGAAATCATCTTCGCTACTAATAATGTCATACAATCAGCCAATCATACAAACTGCTACACTGAAATCATCTTTGCTACTAGTAATGTCACTAAATCAGCCAATAACACAAACTGCTACACTGAAATCATCTTCGCTACTAGAAATGTCATACAATCAGCCAATCACACAAACTGCTACACCGAAATCATCTTCGCTACTAATAATGTCATACAATCAGCCAATCATACAAACTGCTACACTGAAATCATCTTTGCTACTAGTAATGTCACTAAATCAGCCAATAACACAAACTGCTACACTGAAATCATCTTCGCTACTAGAAATGTCATACAATCAGCCAATCACACAAACTGCTACACCGAAATCATCTTCGCTACTAATAATGTCATACAATCAGCCAATCACACAAACTGCTACACCGAAATCATCTTCGCTACTAATAATGTCATACAATCAGCCAATCACACAAACTGCTACACCGAAATCATCTTCGCTACTAATAATGTCATACATCAGACAATCACACAAACTGCTACACTGAAATCATCCTCGCTACTAATTATGTCACTCAATCAGCCAATCACACAAACTGCTACGCTGAAATCATCTTCGCTACTAGAAATGTCACACAATCAGCCAATCACACAAACTGCTATACTAAAATCATCTTCGCTACTAATAATGTCCAACAACTTTAGTTTTTCTTTTTTTTTGGCATTGAAATAAGTCTAGTTTCAAGCACTCTATTGTAAAAAAAGGGAAAACATATTTCAAGCACAATCTCAATTTTCCCCAGAGTGTCAGGTTTGAGCTTTTATGAAATTCAATATCTTTAAGTGCTGTCTAGGAGGTTTAGTTTAGGTTTAATATTGTCATACACATACGAAGATAGATTTATCTATGTGAAAATAAAGGTGGCAACATAATTAAACTCGGATTAGGCAGTCAACTTTCTGAAAACCACAAACCCCACCAAGTATAGAAAAGTATATAACACCTTTGGGTCAAGGTATTTTGTTTGAACAAGTTGGTAACAAATTGATAATCTTCTGCAATACATTATGTATTATTCTACTTGCCTTCATAGATCTGCATATGTTTTAATACATTTGAGTCCAGTGACTTTGAGAGTCGGTCAAGCCCATTTATTTGAACAAAATGAATAACTCTTTAAGACAACTACCTACAAAATACCCCAAACTTATTGTTCTGTAAAAGAAAATATTACCATTGATGGATGACAATCTTTGTGCCAGATGCGTTAAAGTTTTGCTTTGTCATTATAAATAATAAGATAATTACATACACATCAACAACACTATTAATACACATCTTGCTTACAAACATGTGCTTTGCTCTTTTATGTATCTTAAATGTTTCAAAATGAAAATAGTCAATTAAATAAAAATAGAAATAAATAGACAACTCATGCCAAGTTTAAATTTACCATGGTAACAGGGTTTTGCTGTAGAATCTTAAATAAAAAGAACATTTTTTGAAAAAAGTTAACAAATACCTAATATGCTTTATCAAAGACCTTGTTTAATAACATTTGTACATGGTTTTTGAAAAAAAAAGACCAAGATGTTGTGAATTAAAGTCAATTTATTCAAATTCTGTCATATAGAATCCACCTTATATATACGTATAAGCTCTAAATGTTATACCAAAATCAAGCTTCATGCATACTACTACATTCAATGTAAGTCTCCTTTTCTTGTAGAGAAGTTAGATTAAAGTGAAAAGGATAGTCAGTGCTTTCTTTGTAATTCCCTTATACGTCTGTACAAGAATACTGTCACTACAACCAAAGTTATAAAATCTACATTTCAAATCTTTGTTTATTATCATGGCAAACACTCAATAACAGGATAACATAACTGCTTTAGATTTAATACGTTTTTCAGTCGACGTAATATGTGTATGTTTTGGTGGTAAAGTGATGAAAAACTAACCTTTGATTTCCAGAGGTTCGCTAACATGGTCCAGAGCTACTGTTTTTCCCACTTTAGTGACAGTGTTTCTCTGATATTTTCCTGAGCCAACATCTTCAAATACCTCTATCATATCAGAAACTCTGGATGTGTATCCGGCAAGCTCTGTGATCTGTTATAAACAAAAGTAAATATTCTATACTGTAGAAGCAAACACTTACTAACACACCCTAAACCTGAACACACATAAATAAACTAATCACAGCAACATGATAATTAACTCTTTCATCTTGCTTTTATAAACTGTAAATATATTCAATTTTATGAACTTTTTCAAGTATATAAGTTCAATTGAAAAAAAACCCACAAATAAAGTAAACAAGTACAATGATATTCTTTGGTACCTATATTATCTTAACTCATTCACCCCTGAAGACACATTTGAACTCTTCCAATTCAAAGGTTGGAATAGCTCAATATGAAATTTCAGGGGTGAATGAGTTAAGGTGGGGATTTTCAACATTTGCTATTGGTTCATAAACATTGACCATCCATAATAAAACCTGCTAAAGTAACATGTAATAATTGTAGACCTAGTACTATGAAAACTATTTAATTTAACATTCACCATCTATAATTCAGCATGCACGTGCACGTGGAGTGAATTGAAATCATGCAAGCTTTAATTCAACTAATCTGAATTTAACATGGCATAGATATGGGTATAACATTGTGTAAGTATACTGTCTATTTACTGTACTCCAAATCAGCGACCAAGAATTGAATCTGGAAGGTTGTTCTAGATATGTTTGGGTGGTGGGGGGTCACTTGACTTGAGTCATGAGAATAGCTCTTCTGAGCTAAAGTTGCATTGTTACAAACACGACTCTAAATAAAAATTCTTGTATCTTGTATCTTGTATGATGTACTTGGTTGGTGATTACCGGGGGAATCTAACAATTATCGCATTTCAAGTAGGGGACGGGGCCTGGGGTTTATTTTTAATTTTTAAAAACCCGCTGATTTTTCGAATTTTAGAAGGTTCCTTGCCTTTCAAAATGGCTTCCAGCTCCGTGTTGGCGCTAAATGTCATCATATGGAGCACAATTTGCCTCCAAACGAACCTTGTTTATGTAATTCTTTGTTTTACATACAATAGTAGGGTCATAATCACATGACCAAAAATATACAAACAAACAAAAAACAAAAAAAATCTGACCTACCTACCCTAGTTTTTTTGCCCATGCAACCCTAAACAGACTATATAGTTTTTTTTGGCCTAATATGTAAACCATTCTAAATTTATATATACTGGGTAGTTCAAAATCTTTATCAGTAATTGAAATATTCTTGACTGTCAAGAAACTAACACCACCCTACCACCTTCATCCTGCTTCCTGTTAAAGTGTGGATTAAAAACTTTGTATGTTAGTACAGTATACCTCCTTGTATGAAGATATCAGCCTTTCAGTAGCATCTGCGGAGTTGATGAGGAGGTTCCTTGCAGTAGTGAAGGCCTTTGTCCTCTCTCCCACTCCCCCATCTGGGTCATCATCTACGTGACTACCTGAATAAATGTATAAACAAATATCAAAATATAATTACCAGAAAAGCATTAAAGAATGAAAAGCATTTTTTTTTAAATTTCATCTGTAAAAATGACAGATAATATTAAGTTTACAGGAAATCTATCTTTGTACATACTTACAACAGAACTCAACACATGTACACTGAACTACCAATAAAATCCTATATTGGTGTAGCTAATTTTAACAATATATTTTGATCTAATGATCTTTCTATAAAAATCTACAATGTATATATACTTTTACATGAAAATAAATGAGATAAACACTTCTATACAATTAATGTAAGACCTTGTTTAAAGGTCTGTAGAGATTTAGACTCGCACCTACCCGCACAACACCCATTTAAATGCTATCAAATGCTAATAAGATCTCATGGCTGACAGTTTATTGTCAATCATATTTCTTTTTAAAGTGATGTACTTTTGATTGACAGCACCACAAAATAGATATATTCATATATACCATAGTGAACAGCATATGACATCAATATGTCAAAAACCATGTGCTAATTTAGATTAATATATGTTACTAGAACTGACAATATAACATTAATATTTATGTATCAACATTTTAAAACCATTTAGTAGTAGTATAGTAAATTAAGACAACCATCAGTGCGTTTGCCTCCTCCAGTCGCAGATATGATAGGAATAGCCACCATTACTAGTCCGCTAGCACTCCAGACATACTTCATCAAAAACTGCTCCAACATGATGTACCAAAGTTTGGTTTTGAAAATAACATCCATTTGTTTTGCTAAATGTCTGTAGCTTGTCTGCAATAAGTTCTGCTCAATCTGAAATTTAAACAGGTTATGAATTTATTATAAATCAAATTATGACATAACTTTAATAGGGATAAAAACTAAAGAAAAAAGGAACTAGTGACTTTGATGGTATTTACTACTTTCTGCTGTACTGTGATATAATCATACAAAATTTTAATTAACAGTATAACGGTAGTGAAGCAGATGTTAAACCACTCAAACAAACAATGAACAGTATTTAAGGAAGTTGAAACATTTGCAGTATTTAAGGAAGTTGAAACATTTGAAGTTTAACTTTGCTGTCGCGACACATGATTCATCTCTGCAAAAACAAAAGTTTTCCCTAATACAAGTGCAATAGATGCATAATATTGACACTGTATTGAAAAAATGGTAACTGCAAAACATGTACATAGCATTCACCGGTATGTACAGTATAGGCATATTGATCAGGAATTCATTAACAAAGTAAAGGGAGATTAGCACAATAAAATTTGGCTATTGTGCATCAGAAATTTGAAAATTAATACTGATTAGAAGCAGTAGCAGATGATAGACCTAGTTACCATGTTCACTTTCTGAAAAACTGTTGTCTGAGGTTAAGGATATATCTCTGTTTCGACACAATTGTTATTACCTTATAATGTAGTTTAGAAATTACATAATATATTCTCTCAAAAATTAGACTGCATATATATAGAAACCTGTAGCAAAATTTGAATGTTAACCTGTTAACACCTACAGGCTACAGCTATATTATATATGGGGTCATTTTCAGATTATTTCAAATTAATTCTGGAAAAGGAGTGTGGGCCCTTTCAATTTTGATATGAAATAGACGTCAGGGTGGCTTAAATGCAAACACTTAACACTAACCTGAACACTAGTTAATTATTTGAACCGTATGAATCAGCAGGTCGGGGAAAACCACTAACTTGCGTATCATATGCAAACTCGCCTATTATACGCCAATAGGGATATGGATTTGTTACTAAAAATAGCCAAAATCACTTTAATCTTAACTTTTTCAAATTGTTTGTCCAAGTCGCATTTATTCTTTCATGAAACATAATACAAATGCAAAAATAAACTTTATTTGCATGTGGGAAAGTACCAAAAATAGATGCAATACTTCCGGTAAAGTTACATCAAGTTTCTAAGTAGCCAATACTTTCAGTCAACATCTCTTAGCAAAATATTATTTACCTTGTCGTAAATTAATGCGATTTTTAATAATACCTTGCAAAAGTTACTGTTAAAGCGATTTGGGTTATTTTTAGTAATAAATCCATACTACAACTTGCGTATAATAGGCTAGTTTGGGTATATACGCAAGTTGGTGGTTTTCCCCAACCTGATCAGTGCCACCCTTCATTAAGTTTACCTTGTGACCTCCATAGAAAGCAATCTCTTCTGCATTCGCAATGACTCTTGAATGTACATAGCGTAGGTAACCTTTGCGCTTTGCCTCCTCTGCTACCAACTTGCCAAATTTGGGAGACACAATTCTCAAAATGTGAACCGTACAAAATATGACAATAGAAGCTAACATGGATGGATACTTGGAGCTTGCTCCACGGTGGCTAGCTTGTGAGTACAAAGTGAAGGTGATTAACGCTATATCAAGTAGAGGCTTTGTTAGGTGGGAATAAAGATGAGCAAGCGATTGAGTGAACATTGTGATGTCATCTGTGAGACACTGGTCAGAATTAGCCAGACGGCTGTCCAAATTGTCAACTCGGTAGTAAGTTTGATTTCTAAAATACAATTTGTAGGCATGATCGACTAGTCGTGTTCGGAGTGCTAATCCTAATTTACATTCAAGAAAACGTATAAGACTATTGACAAATGTTGCAGGAATCGCAATCAGGAGCCACTCAGTGAGTCTAAGAAGAAAACTTTTCACATCCCTTTTGACTATTGTTTGTACTATTCGGCCATCTAATGTTGCCACGTATATTGACAAGAACGTTCGCACTATCAGTGTCAGTGTGTGAACTGTCAATATCCCGAACTCTTTGGTCCAAAGTCCGGGAATAACGATTTTCAATAGGTATCTTAATTGCTTATAAAATCTTTTGTTGACGGTGGGTGTAGACTTCTTTGCTTTCCCTTGTGCTTCCCGATAACTTTTGTTCAGTGACAATGTTTTCTCTTTGTCGGTGGAATCGCCATTTCCAAGAAGCCTTCCAAGAGCTTTCTTCATCTCCGGGCAGCATTTTTTAGCTCCATAGCCTGCAACTAAACACACGACTGCAGCTGCCGCTATGTTTTTCCGAGTAATGTTTTGTTTGTTTGCTAAATACAGAAATTTCGACATTGTCACACTTTCATCGGTCATCTAAACGCCATACATCATAAATACACAGTGTCTCCTCCTCAACTCAGTAACACTTCCGTCCATGTTGGATTTCTTATCAGAACGAGTCTATGACCTTTGACCGACTTCCGTCGTCTGCATTAAAAGTGTGACAGCGGCAAATATGAACTGGGTTGGCGGAGCGAGGAATCGACTGCGTTTTTCAAATGAGAGAAAAATACAGAAGGTAATATATCATACCGAAACATCACCACTGATATGTATTGCGTATTATCAACAAAAGTTGAAGAATATAATTTTCCACTGCCACGGGAAGCCACGGCTGTCAACACATGACAGATGAGGCTAGCACCTGTGGTCACCGTTCACTCTCAATCATACAAAACCGCAATCATGACAGCATGGGTTCTGTAAACAACCGATATAACAGCTGACAGTAGGTAACATTTCACACTCGAATAGGGTAAGCTTGGTACTGAAGTAGTCACAACGTTGAGAAATTTTACCACAGTAAGGCAGGGATGTGTAAGGTAAACGAGATTTAACATTAACGTCGGCCGGCCCCACTTGCAATTTCAAAACAAAATAGGTACAAAAAGGTATGGTTATAGGAAGCTTAAATCAGGAATAGTTAGTTTCAGATTTTTGTTTTTTGATGAATGGGAGGGCGGGACCTCATGACATTGACTTTCACCTGTGTGTGTGTTAAAGGTGTGGTAACACAACTCCTAGAGCATTTAAATGACACAACTACTATACAATTATATCATCATCGTGTACAACATATTCCAACTGTTATTTTTTATACAGAATATTACACTATTTCAAGAAAGAATTGTTGATTATATTGAAGTTTAACTTTTAGGCAGAAAAGGGTGTGAAATTACTATTAATGAGAAAATTTCTATAGTTCAAAAACGAGTCTATTTTTCATACTTGTTTAAAAGTTGGTAACCAATAATATCTTTTAGCATCAGGAATTTAAAAAAAAATGACAACCGGTAAATTTGTCGTTGTACGGTAGAGGTATTATGGTGCAAGATCTATTTGCCACGCAAGACGTGTTGCACATCGTACTGTAGAGTATTTAAATGACACAAATACTATAAAATTATAGCATCATGATCATCGTGTGCAACATATTCAAATATTATTTTAATACCGAATATAACACTATTTCCAGAAAAATGAGAAAATTCACATTTTGGACACGTTAATTTGCATAGTTATAAAACAAGTCTATTTTTCATACTAGCTTTAAAGTTGGCTACCAATAATATCTTTCAACATCAGGAATCAAACATATGATTTTAGGTTTCATTTCTTCTTCTTTCTATTTCTTACTATTTCTTACTCACAGGGATGCCAGACTTACTATCAATGGTAAAACGTCACGTGTATGACAGCAGTGTAAGTTGAATGGAATAACATTGTTATCAGCAAATTGTCAGGGTCTGGGCGATAAGTTAAAAAGAAAAGATGTTTTCTCATACATGAAGGAAAAAAATACAACATTTATTGTTTACAAGATACGCATTTTGTTCAGGAAAATGAATATGTTATTAGAAATGAATGGGGTGTGATTGTTTTTTTTTCAATTCCTTTAGGTCAAATGCTAGGGGTGTTGCTATTATGGTTAATAATAATTTTGATGTTAAATTTTAAGGGAAAAAAGGACAATTCTGGAAATTTCTTAGCGCTTGATACTATAATAGAAGGCACAAAAACTACTCTGGTTACTGTGTATGGTCCGAACCAAGCCTGCCCAGATTTTTTTTACGAATGCTATAAATCTGTTTAATAATGATATTAATATTATATGTGGTGATTTTAACTGTGTTCTTTACCCTAAGTTAGATTATGATAACGGCTACAAGAATATTAACAATCCAAGGGCTAGGAATAAACTGTTAGAAATTTCTGAGAAAAATGGGCTTATTGATATTTTTCGGGATCAACATGAAGAGACTAGGAGATATACATGGAGGAAAAGGACCCAAATAAAACAGGCTAGGCTAGACTACTTTCTTGTGTCTGAATCCCTTTTAACCAGTATTCAAGGTTCAAGTATTGAGGCAGGGTACAGAACAGACCATTCATATCCCATATTATCATTGAAATTGAATGAATTTAGGAAAGGGAAGGGTTTATGGAAGCAAAATAACTCTCTTTTACAGGAAACTGAATATTATGACTTGGTTAAAAAAACTATTTTAAGGGTTAAAGAATTTTGCTGCCTGCCAATATATAATATTACTTGTTTGAAAGACATACCCGGGGAAGATTTACAGTTTACTATAAGTGATCAATTTTTTTTAGAAACTTCATTGATGGAACTACGTGGTGAGACAATTTCATATGCATTTTATAGGAAAAAAGAAGGAGCTTAGAGAAAACATACAGAAGTTGGAGCCAGAAGATATTGTTGATCTAGAAACATTGGCAACAAAGAAATAAAAGCTTTAGGGTATTAGATTAGATAAGATTAAGGGTAGCATAGTTCGTTCAAGGGCAAAGTGGGTAGAGAAGGGTGAAAAACCGACCAAATATATTTTTAACTTAGGAAATCGGAATTTTGTTTCAAAAATAATTCCAAAAATACAAAATGACAATGGAGACGTTATAGTTAAGCAGGAAAATATACTGATAGGAGTTAAGAACTTTTATGAAAGCCTGTATAAGGATAATAACTTGGATAATGCTGATCTTATAACTTCTTAAAAAATTGTAATGTACTCAAGTTGACAAATAATGAATCTACAGAGCTTGGAGGGCAGATAACTCCAGGAAGCTTGATTTAAAAAAAAATTGTACGGTCAATTCATTTTGGCTATTCTACTGGGGAGTTATCTGTCACTCAAAGACAAGGGATTATAACTTGCATTCCAAAAGGGGATAAACCAAGACATTTGATGAAAAAGTAGCGACCAATATCATTATTGAACATTGTGTACAAAAAAGCACCAGGGGTTATTCTTCTAGAATAAAAACAGTTTTAGATAAGGTTATAAGTAGTGATCAAACAGTTTTTTTTAGCTGGTCGTTATATTGGAGAAAATACTTGTCTTGTTTATGATATTATGCAGTATACAGAAGATAAGAATATCCCAGGAATGTTACTTATGATTGATTTTGAGAAGGCATTTGACTCTGTCTCTTGGAAATTTGTGGATAATGTTTTATGTTTTTTTGACTTTGGAAATAGTATAAGACATTTGATTAAAACTTTACATAAAAAGGTCAGTTCAGCTATTAATCAGGGAGGGAATTTGTCATCCTTCTTTCATATTGGAAGGGGTTGTCGTCAAGGCGACCCTATAGCGCCATACATATATTTATTTTATGTGTGGAAGTTTTATCAATCGGGTTAAAGAATAACAAAAATATTAAGGGTGTAGAAATCAAAGACTGTCCTATCCTAAATTCCATGTACGCATATGACACCACACTTATATTAGATGGCTCTGAAAGATCACCGAGAGAAGCACTTAATGAATTAAACAGTTTTTCTAAAATTTCCTGATTAAAGATTAATGTTAACAAGACTCAGGTTATTTGGATTGGCAGTATGAGATTTAGTGATGTCAGCTTTTTACCAGAAATGAACCTAGTATGGGGAAAGGAAAAAAATACATTATTGTGAATAGAGTTCAGCTTGAATTTGACAAAAAACTCATTAAACTGAAAGCTCTAATTAGAACCTTGAGTAGAAGGTCATTGACACCTATTGGGAAAATTCATGTTATAAAATCACTTATGCTGTCTCAGTTCAACCATCTTTTTTATTGCTCTACCTAACCCAGATGCTGATTTTATATCAACAGCTCTGAATTCCATCCTGTTTGAGTATATGTGGAACAGTAAGACTGACAAAGTAAAGAGGGGTGTTATTATACAAAACTATGTTGATGGGGGATTGAAAATGGTTAACTTAGAGGCTTTTATTACTTCTCTGAAATTGAGTTGGGTCAAGAGACTTTTCTTTAGTGAAGATAAATGGCAGCATATTATTAAGTCTATTGCAGATCTTAACCTACTTGCTTATGTTGGGAATGACTATTTACAAACATGTTATAATAGATGCAATAACCAGTTCTGGAAAAATATCCCGAAGGCATGGGAAAGACTAAGAAAGGCTTAGAAACCCATATGGAAAAGGGAAAGAGGTCATGAAAACTCCAATATGGTTTAATAGACAAATATGTGTTGGTAGAAGGTCAGTATTTTACAGAGAATGGTATACGTATAACAAAGGTATAGTGATTTATTCAAGAAGAATAACTCTTTCTTCAATTTTCATGATTTTATAGAAACACATATTTTCTAACTTTCTAAGATGTTATTGCTGCAGTAAGACAGTTTTTATATATTCATATTCATATATCCATATATTCCAGTTAATCTGGAAAGTTTTATTTTCTCTGCTAAAGGCTCAAAATGTTTTTACAACACACTAGTGAATAGAAAAATAATTCCAACTGGACAGGTTAAATGGAAGTTTGAACTTTACATCAATGACCAGTACTGGAAACGAACACATCAAATTCCTTTCAAAGTTACTTCTAATACAAAGCTACAATGACTTCAGTCTCGAATTTCGCATCATATACTGACAACAAATTATTTTTTATCTAAAGTAGGTATCTCAGATAATCCTCTATGTACTTTTTGTAATCAAGTTGAAGAAACTATAGTGCACTTATTATGGGAATGCCAAGAAGTTCAGTCTTGTTTGCAAAGTTTTGAATCTATCCTAGATGCATTGCTAATTCCTTTTCCAATACAATAAAATCACTTTCATATTAGGACTGTTTACACAAACAGAACGGTTTAATAAGAGCGATAAGGAAATACTTTTAATAGTTAAGCAATACATTTACAGTTCTAGATGTAACAATAAATTGTTGAATAACAACTCTTTAATTCTTAAAATGAAGGACCAATACACTGTACAACGTTATATTGCAACTGCTAAAGGTGAATACTATATGCAGTGATTTACTGCATACTGGGAAAAATGGATGCGGCTAATAGAGCTTGTGGACTTATTTTAAATACAAGTGTAGTTATATACATGTACGTACACACATATACACATGTACATTTTGAATATATGTTAATTATGAATTAATTCTATTGAAACTGCCCAGTACTCTGGCAATATTTTTTGCTGGTTCTGATAATATTTTTTTAAGTATTATTTGAGTATAGTTTGACATTCCTGTC